GCATGTATATATGTAGAAATGTATAGTTGTATATGTGTATATATGTATATGTATATGTATATGTGTCTGTATATGTATATGTATAGGTATAGGTATATGTATATGTATATGTATATGTGTGTGTGGCCATATATGTATATATCTCTATATAATGATGTATTTTCCTGTTAATATTGTCATATTCTTAATTATTATTATTCAATATGTTTTGCGGATCTTAAAATGCCCATTAAGATCCGTAAAACAAGTTGAATAATAACAATTAAGCATAGTTTGAATTTCTACATATATGGCCACACACATACATATACATATACACATACACCTAAACCCTAAACTGTAAACCCTAAACCCTAAACCTTTAAACCCTAAACCCTAAACCCTAAACACCAAACACTAAAAAGCTGGGTGCTGATCTGATGACATGACATGTGTACCACTTAAACAGTGGCCATGTAAGGCAATGAATGTGCGCCACTTGAGCAGCGGCCATGTGATATGTGCCACTTGAGCAGTGGCCATGTGATATGTGCCACTTGAGCAGCGGCCATGGTCAACATGTGCTATGCGCCACTTGAACAGCGGCCATGACATGTGACATGAAAACCCTAAACTCTTAAACCCGAAACCCTAAGTTTAAGCCCCTAATCCGTCGCCAGCCCAGGACCAGGACCAGAACTGCGCCACCTGGGCATTTAGGGTTTCGGGTTTAGGGTGTAGGGTAAACCCTAATCCCTAAACCCTAAACCCTGAACCCTAAACCCTGAACCCTGAACCCTAAACCCATGCTAGGGGTTGAAAGAAAAGGAAAGGTTTAGGGTTTAGTCCTTGGGGGGGGGGGGGGGGGCAGGGGTTCTAGGGTTTAGGTTTTGTAGCTTTTACGAAGAGGGTTCAGGGGAATAGGTTTGGGGATCGGGTTGAGGATTTCTGGAGTACTTTATTTTACATTTCAAAAAAGCACCCTGCTCCGTATGTGATTCACTTAGTTTTCGTAAAATATCTTCACATACGGGGCTAGTGTGCATTTTTGAAATCCCAAAAAGATCCCAAACCTTTCAATATTCAACCCGTTTTAAACACTGAAGTAAAAACATTACAATCCAAGACACACAACCTGCACTGTAGTTTCTTTTCCAAGGTGCAACCCACTCATACCACATGTGATGCCATCTCTAAAACCAGAAGTAAACAATTGACTTATACTACTTGATCTCGATTCACGTGTGGGAGTGGTTTGCATCTCTGAAAAGAAACAAAGTTCCCCTGTTTTCTCCTGGGCATAATTTGTTAAAGCAAATTTGTGTGTGTCAATTTTACGGCCGCCCCGCCCCCCCCCCCCCCCTCCAAATAATTTTTTATGTCAAAGCTTTTGTTCAAAACAAGTTGTTTCAAACTTGGTTTTTTGAGCCCAAAAACGAGACTACTGGAAACAAAAACCAGACTACAGGAATCAAGCAACGTAGGTTTCAGCTAAGCGATGGAAGTGTGTTTTGCAAGGCCGACACCAATGCCTACTCGACTTACATGCCGCTGGTTTATATGCCTACTATGCGCAAGGTGCAAGTCTGGATATCTGCCACTTGGACTGCATGGCGAGTCGTGAACGCCTCCAGCACTGTCGGGGATTTGAAGGAGTCGCTCCTCTCCACACTCAACAGCAGTTGCAACTTCAAAGTCCGTGTGCAGGACTTTCGCTTGTTGCCAGCTGAGGGTGGCAAGGTTGGTGATGACTGCAGAGTGTACTATGCCAAGAGCAAGAAGTACTCTTTGGAGTGGTTACGTAAACCCTGATGTGCGGCGACCCAAGGCTTTTGCTTGTGAAGTTGCGTTGAGGACGGCGAGCTGCCTCGCGTAGTCTAGGCTCTCACTGCGCGCGGCCGAATGGACGCTGTCTTGCGAAAATTCGGCCGGCGACAGAGGGACACCTCTGCCGTACACGGGCGCAATATTTGTACAGCTTCGGAACAGAGCTTCTGCTTTACAATGTTCGCGCAGAAGCGCAATGTTCCGCAGCATTCCTCGCAACAAGCTTGCCGCGTATCCCTCAGCCTCCTCGCTCCTAGCTTGTTCCCCAGCTTCAACTCTTCCAGACCTTCTCATACGGCTACCAAGCTAGCTCGGCCAAGGCTTCAGCTTCCTCTTGCGTCATCCTGATCCAGTAGAGGTCCTGTGCTGGACCAAGATGACGCAAGAGGAAGATGAAGAGTTGGCCAAGCTAGCTTGGTAGCCGTATGAGAAGTTCTGGAAGAGTTGAAGCTGGGGAACAAGCTAGGAGGTGGCGCTGCGCAGCAGCAAGAGCTGCGCGGCCTGCGCGAAGGTTTCGCCGCTCACGGCGTGGCTTGGCTGCGCGAGGAGCTTGCGAAGCAGACCGTGACGCAGTTGCGGGCGCTTGCTGGGGCTGCGGGTGTGCAGGGGGCGTCTACGCAGAGATTCGCGGCAGCCTCGAGTCCGTTCAGAAAGCTGCCGCGCCTTTGACGAAGGACGTTTTCTTTGCCGCCGACCTGAAGATGGTACTTCGTACAACCTGAGCGACATCTCCGACTGGCCTCTCGATGCTGTGGTGGTGCGGTCTTCGAAGCCTGGTCGACGTCAGCACCAACACTTCCGCGACGGGCGTGCAGCAGCGCTGTGAAGCTGGCAAGCGAAACAAAGAGGAGCTTCTTCACGCTCTGTTGCAGTGCATTTCCGAGCAGGAGGCGTTATGGGAAGCTTTCCCATGACGCCTCCTGCTCTGAAATGCACTGCAACAGAGCGTGAACAAGCTCCTCTTTGTTTCGATTGCCAGCTTCATCAGGCGCACTATTGCGCAAGTTGCATTGTATTGTGGATTTGCGAAAGTGTGGGGACGCAGCCCGCGGGGCAGGGCGAGTTTTGACGTCACAGCGGAGGCAGGGCCCGAAAGCGCGGCTGCAGAACCGCATGGACGCCGTCCGGGCTATGTTTAGTATGGACACTGCGACGCACGCGCGTGTGAAAATGCAGCTAGGACCGCCCGGGACGATTGGCACCTTTGTCGACCGACTTGCAAGTAAAGCTGTTTTCTGCGCGCAGGTATTCCATGGCGACCAACATGCACGGCCCTTACTTAGACTCCACCTCTTTTGTCTGTTTTTGTGCTTGTGTGGTTTTTGCTTCTTTCCTTGCACCGGCGCAGGTGCGTGCCGCGACCGGCCGCTGGAGCTCGGCGTTGTCTTCAACGCCGATGAAAAGTCTACAGAGTTGACCACAAGTGCATGGCATTCAACTCCACACACTTGAGTGCCATGCAGTTCCAGTGCATACAAGTGCAGTGTACAAGTGACTATGCAACCATGTAAGGGCATACATTTCTCCAAGTGCATACAGTTCGATTACAAAGAGTCAAGTGCATGGAGTCAACACACGGCAAATCGATGCTTTCGGGCCATCCCTCTTCTAGTGTTGCATCTGAGGCAGAGGGCATGCGATTGTGTTTTGGTGCCAGGAGTTTGTGCCATCATTAAGGCATCCCAAGTCGATGTGCTTAACATCTGCTGTAAGGTTATATATAATATTCGGCCAGAATTGATGAACCTCTGAACTCCTTGAGGTGTTCGTGTCGGATTGCTGAGGTCCAGTCCGCTGGGTTGCTGGAGATGGTCTGCCAGGAGGCCGTACCCGAAGAGCCCCCGGCAGCTGCCCTCTCTGCCTCTTTTCAGGGGCCGCGTTGCATACATTCGCAAGCACACAGGTTTTTTTTCCATATATGTAGAGTTGGTATATAAAGTGTACATACATGATGTGTTGAGTACATAAGAATAGATCCGGTTGCAACACCTCCGTGGAGGTCCTGCCCTGCCCGCTTGGTCCACTACGGCTGCGTGCTGTGGAGGTTTCTGAGTGGGTTTTGTGCCGATTTCAGCTTTTGAGGGGCGTTCAAAGCCTTGGCGGCCTCAAAAGTGAAGCGACTACAGAGTTAATTGGTGTTCGAGCAGCAAGGGGAAACTTCGGTGTTTGGGTGGTTTTGCGAGCAAGAGTCAGCAAGAGTCAGCAAGAGTCAGCAAGAGTCAGCAAGAGTCAGCAACAGTCAGCAACAGTCAGCAAGAGTTAGCAAGAGAGCAAGGGGAGGCTCAATCCACTTCATACAAGAGACTGTGCATGCAGGCTTCCAGCAATCTGCCTCATAGCTCTACGAGGGGATTTTGTGCAGCACGTTTGTGGGCCTCATTCGAGGCGTCCTAGAGCAGCAAGGTCCTGGCCGGGGCGCTGGCATCGGCCCCGGAGCCTGCGCTGGCCGCGCTGACTTCGGCTGCGCCTTCGTATCGCCTCACTGCCACCGCGGCGGGCCCCTCAGATATGACAAAGGCCACAGCAAGAAGGGGGGCGCTAGTGAAAAGAAACAGGAGGTGATCGACACCCGACCATGCAATCCACATAGTCCATGCTGCATAAGGCCGAGGGTCCAGTATCTGGAATCTGGTTGCCTCGCCACTAGGAAGCGTTCCCCGATGTGTCCCGGTGTTTTTTCCTTTGTATTTTGCTGCTCCGCAGCTACGTACTATACTGCTGGCTTGCGAGTTCAGTTGACACGGGAGGATGAAATAAAGTAAGGTGGCAGACTTTCTTGGAACGGCACCAAACGAAGTGATTTAGCAACGCATTGTGGCCCAAGCAAGGCCCTCATCAATCTTCCTTTGATGCAGGTGCTCTTGCAAAATGACGAGCTTATAAAGCAACACGAAAAGGGATCCTCTGAGTGCTTCCCAGGACAGGTCGGCCTTGGACCTCCTTGTAGCCATCCTCATCGGCCAAGAGGTGGACATTGCGTGGACTGCCACAGGGTTCATGTGAGGGCGAAGAAGCACCGAGCACAGATGAGCACCGATGAGCACCGATGAGCACCGATGAGCACCGATGAGCACCGATGAGCACAGGCCATCCAAGCTCCGCTAGAGCTCTGCGCTGCCATCGAGGAGCCGCGATTTCACATTGCAAGCTGCTAAGCATATGCAGCGTACTTCTTCAATCGGAAGCGTGCAGTCATGTCACAGGCCCTCTTGGCCGCAGCCATCAGCAAGAGCGCCGCGGTTCGCCAGGCGCGAGTTGTCGAGACACTGTCCGGCGCCGCTTCAAGAAGATCGCATGGCGCAGCACGGTGTAGCACGGAGGTCTTGGTCCGGCCATGTCTGGAGGAGGCCCAGAAGATCCAAGAAGAAACCAAATTGGCTTAAGCCATCCCTAAGGCATCCCAGAGCAACACAAAACGATGTGATGTGCGATATCAGTACTTGGTGGCCAGGTCTCGGCCCCCACAGCTGCAGGTGGGTCGATGTCGTGATACATATTTCCCCAAGTGTCCTCTCCTTTTTTTGTTCGGAGACTGCAATCTCCCGCAGCTCTCACGTAATGTGTTGTGAGTTGTGACTTGTCCCGCACTTCTACGAGGCTCCATACTGCGATCCGTCCTTCGGGCCGATCGCAGGGAGCTGCGCGAAGTTCGGCACACTGGCCTCGCCGGACCCTTATACTTTTATAAGTAGTTCCTACGTACTTTCTTTGTTACAAAGCAGCTTCTAAACGCAGCATAAAGTTTAAAGGCAAGAAATCCCACGCTTGAGGACTGGTGGCCGGCAGAGCCTGACACCTGGTTCGCTGCACGGCTGCCGCTGCCCCAAAGTGCCCAGCTTCTCTGACCACACGCCATGCCATACCGTAAAGCTTCAACTCCATTAGACGTTCCATTATGAGCATTGCATGTGTCCTCTTTGCAGGCTGGAGGCGTGCCTCCGTTCCGACAGGGAGTTGCGCGCCGCCTTGGCATGCGAGCCCAGGCGGCGATCGTGGAGAAAGCTGCGTTGAAGTCGTTGAACTCGTCTTGAACTGGCAGCCTCTCCTTTTGCAGGTCCTCCAGCCCCTCAGCGAGCGACCAGGCTGGGAGGAAGTTGACTCAGCAGGAAAGGCAGGTCTCAGGAGGGACACAGATACGGACAGAGCCCGTGTAACTTATATTGTCGTCCCTGCACTCTCGTCCCTCCGACCTCCTCGCGCGCTCGCTCTTTTTTGTATCTCTATACGTGTATATGTGTGTGTGGGTGCGTGCGTGCATGCGTCCGTGCGTGCGTGGGTGCGGGGGTGTGTTTGTTGTGTATTGTGCGACACGCGAAGCAGGCCAGCAGCGGATTGCTGTCGGAGGTCTTGGGGCCTCTTGCCAGCCTGGCTCGTGCCTGGCGCTCCGAGCGACAGTGTTCTTCCCAGGCCGGCACCGAGGGCACTGGAGCGCGCTACTCATGATTATTCATCACTCCTGCACTCTCTTTTCTCCTCCGTTCCTCTCTCCCTCGCTTCTTTTGCCTTCTCCTCTCTCTCTCTCTCTCGTTCTCTCGTTCTCTCTTCTGTCTGCTTGGATCTTGATGGGTTGGCCCAAATGGGTCAATATGACGCCAGTTAATTTTACCGCTACGCGACCCGCCTCGGCCTGGCCCAGCGCATCCGCGTGAGCATGGTGATTCCGCAGCGCCCAAGTCGCTGGACCCCAAGCAATAAGGGTTGGGTTGAGGGTTGAGGGTTGAGGGTTGAGGGTTGAGGGTTCCGGGTTTAGGGTTTATGGTTTGGGGTTTGGGGTTGAGGGTTAGTTTAGGGCTCAAGGTTCACGCTTTGGGGTTGAGGGTTTTTTTGGGTTTAGGGTTCGGCTTGGAGTGACCGTAGGGTTGAGCCAGGCCGGCAGGGTGGGGGGAGGGGGGAGGTGGGTGGGGGGGGGTGGGGGGGGGGGGGTGGGGGAAGGGGGTAGGGGGGGGGGGGAGGGGGAGGGGGTTGGGGGGGGGGGTGGGGGTGGGGGGGGGTGGGGGGGGTGGGGGGGGGGGGTGGTGGGGGGGGGGGGGGTGGGGGGGGGGGCCTGCTGGGAGGGGCTTCAACTGCCTCTGGTCCTGGCGAACGGTCCGCTTGCGGACCCCGGTTTCCCAGGGGGGTACCCATTTGAGGCCAAAAAAAGGGGTCCGAAAAAGGGCTTTGGGTGTGGGGGGAGGGGGGTGCCTGTTCTGACAACCTATACACCTCCGGCCCGAGGCCTCGGCGGATTTGGGGAAAGCATGGCATGCGCCATTTGAATTTACCAGTACAACCGAGACACTTGACGGAGACGCTTCAATTCCAGAGTCTAAGTGTTGGTGGTAAACAATCACTGGTCTTGGGGATAGAGCAGTGCTATCGCCGAGTTGTAGCACGCGTGTCGAAAGAGGTTCACTCTCTCACTCTTTCCGACTCTCTCTGACTTTCTCTGACTCTCTCTGCATGACTCTCTCTCTCTCAGACACTCTCTCACTCTCTCTCTTTCTCTCTGTCTGTCTGAGGGCCGCGAGTTTTACCTGTGCATTTAGATCTATCTACAGACTGTACAAAATCTACAAGTCGTACGCGCAGGCGGGGGATCCCACGGCAGCGTTGTGCGCCCTGCTGCAGCTCCTGGCCGAGTGGTGCAACGGCTGCCCGCTGGCAGCGGAGGCGCCTGAAAACTTACAATAGGATAAAGTGTCAGGATGCAAAAGGATCACAGAGGGATCGTCCCACGCGGAGAGTACAGCCAGAGTCAGCCAGAGCACCCTGTAGATGGCAAGGGCAAGCCCACTTGGAGAAGGGGAGTGAAGGGGAGTCTTTGTTGACAGGAGGATGGTCATGTGGTCCAGTGAGCTGGACAAGGGTTCCAGTATGCCTGTTCAGGTCGTGGCCCGCTCCCCGGCGCAGCTTCCGGAGCTGGTGTCCTTGCTGGAGACCTCACAAACCTCGCCATCGATGGGTCCCGATGAAGTGCACGCCTGGGCACCCAGATGCAGAGGTCAACTCGGTCACACCCAAATGGTCACAGTTTGGGAGTACACACGGATACACCAAGTAGGTTCGGGGCCTGGCTGCTTTGGTGCTGGGCACATGTCTTCTGGAGCTCCCGGGCAAGGCGCGGGAAAGGTGCCGAGTGAGAAAGGCGAGTGAGAAGGCGAGTGAAATGTGTGCCAGGAAGATGCCTTGGTCAGCCAGAGTCGGCTCATGGAGATCTTAGCTGCCCGTGTCGGCACTGCTCTGAGTCGCAGCGGGCGGTCATGGCATGTCTACGGTCCCTCCTTACATATTGTCATTATCATAATTTTAACGCTACGCTACCCGCCTCGGCATGAGGGGTTTAGGGTTCCGGGTTTATGGTTCAGGGTTTAGGGTTGAGGGCCTGTTTCGGGTCGCCTACGGGGGGTTACCCATTCCAGGCAAAAAAAGGGGGCCGACGTGTGGCTTTGGGCTTGGGGGGAGGATTTGGAGGGGGGTGCCTGTTCTCACAACCTATACACCTTCGGCCCGAGGCCTCGGCGGATTTGTCCTACATTGCCTTCTACAAAATTGTTTTTTACATCTGGAGGTGTGGATGCCTACACACGCGCTGCGGAGGCAGGGGCCTCACCTGTGTTCATAAGAGACAGAGGATGCAGGACGTCCCGGCGCGCTTTTGAGGAGTTCCTGCGCTCCCTGCGGGGCACTGTGCCTGGTGCCGTGGGCCCAAACAATGGCATGGCCCGCACTCCGCCGCCCATCCTTTTCTCTCCGAGTCTCCCCCCGAGGCTCGGCTGAGCCGCTACCCTGCTGGCCACGTGGCGAACAACGAGAGCCAAATGGGGAGCGAGAGATCCGAGAGAGAGAATGAGAGAGAGAGAGAGAGACCCGTGCGCGCGGGGGGTCCCCTGGGCCCCTCAAGGCCCGTAGAAGAAGAAGAAGAAGAAGAAGAAGAAGAAGAAGAAGAAGAAGAAGAAGAAGAAGAAGAAGAAGAAGAAGAAGAAGAAGAAGAAGAAGAAGAAGAAGAAGAAGAAGAAGAAGAAGAAGACGAGAGAGAGAGAGACGCTGGCTGACGTGTTGCAGTGCATGTGACACCTCCGACTGTAACCGAACTCGGTGGCGGCCTGGAGCGTAGAAGAAGAACGCTATAAGCCTGGCATCTCGAGGCTTCCCAGCCGCTGCCGCTGCACGCTTCCAGCAGGTGCAGGAAGCCATGGCCCGGGGTCTTAGCAGTCTTAGCGAGGAAGCGAGCTCTCTTTTCGTGCACGAACAGCTGTGTTAAAAGGAGAGCTCTCTCAAGAGAGTTTGTTATAGGGAAGTTGGAGAGAGTGAGTTTGCGAATTCAGGTGCGAATCTGGCTGGAGCGAGGCGCGGAGTTTTTGCAGACCCTTGTTCTTCTCAGATTTCTCTGGCGTTGACTTCTGCGTGGAAGAGAGAGAGAGAGAGAGGATATTTAAAAAACAGAAATCCCAACGGCTCTGGTGGTGAGCATTGGACACCGTGAGCACAGACACCGAACCCCACAACCACAGTGGGGGGCAGCGCGCAGGGGGCCGTCACCCAGGGTGTTCGCTCGGGAAGAAAGTTTGCGAAGGGTGACGACTGAGGGGGGACCCTTTTTTGAAGAGCACCCGCAATGGAGGGCCCACACAGACCTCAAATCCATGGCCACCAAAAACGGGGGCCGATCTCTCACCAGTGGACTGACACAGCGGGCCGGCCCTCTCGCTGAGAAGAAGAAGAAAGGATTTCGGTGAGGGATCAGGCAGGGTCTGGGGGTGAAAGCGTAGCTGTACAACCAGGCCACTCCTCTCAGACCGAGTGCTGTCTAGTCTAGTCGCATAACAGGGGGAATGCCCTGACAAGGCGCCGCAGGCGCCCACTTTCACTCAGTCCTCCACAACAACGAGGGGGCACGCCAAGAGTGCGGGGGGGGGACCCCCCATGCCCCAAGGAAGAAAGAAGAAAAATGAGAGAGAGAGGAGAAGGAGAGAGAAAACTTAAATCAACAACGGGGGCTACCACGACAGGATCGCCTACTACCAGATCCCTTTGACACCGAGACAAGTGGAAACACAAAACTACAACGACGTGATCAAGTTCTACCAGACATCGACAGCCGAAGACGCAGATCTCATGAGGGAGCAAGTAGTGATTGAACTGCGTACAGTGTACATTCAGAGGGGTGCACAGGAAGGGAGAAATCGAACATCAGGTTTTGATCTACGGCTAGAAGCTATTGTCTTGGAACCAATGGAACCCTCACCCCCTCGAACCAATGCCCAGCGAAAACCGTGGAGCGTTTATCAGACGGATCAGTGGACGTTGCGCACCCTTCGGGGCGGCCTCCTCTTCGGGGGGGGGGGGGGGGCAGAGAGAGAGAGAGAGAGCCCCCCATGCCCTGCAGAAGAAGAAGAAGAAGAAGAAGAGGAAGAAGAAGAAGAAGAAGAAGAAGAGAGAGGGACTGCCCGCTCTTCACGCCCCAGAGCAAAGCAAAGCAAAGAGAGAGGGAGAATGTAGCTCGCGCCCTTTTGGGGCAGCTCCCTTCAAAGCCCCCCAGACGTGCATGAAGGAAGCGAGAAAGCAAGGAAGGAAGGACTGAGGAGAAAGTGAGAAAGAAAGAGGAGGAAAGAAAGAAATGCTTAATTGCCGCCCTCCCTTCGGAGGGGTCTTGCGTGCAGAAGCACAGAGAGATATAGTTTGAGAGAGAGTTTCTGAGAGTTTGAGAGGTGCAGGATCGCCACATGCCAGTGCCGGCATGGCGGAGGCACGCTCGCTGGGCATGCCACTTCCGCCCACTCTCCCTCTCGCTCTCGCCCTCTCCCCTTTCTTTGTCTTTCTTTCTTTCTGTCTTATTTTGAATTTTTAGTTTTTATTCTTTCTTTCTCTCTCTGTCTTACTCTGTGTGTGTCTCGCACTCTGTGTGTCTCTCGCTCTCTGGCTCTGTCTCTCGCTCGCTGTGCGTGTTCTCTCTCCCCAATGCTTCAATAGTCTCCTGTGGTACTCGGTGCTGTGACACGAAGGAAGCTAGTGGCAAGCGAACATTTTGTCATGACATGCCACATCCGCCACAGAAGTTGGGTCTTCTTCAGTTGTTGTCTTTGCATTCTTTGCCAAGCGCGGTTTTCATGTCGTCGAGCACCTTGCAGGCTTAACTTTACAAGCTTTCTGAGCCAAAAGTCGCAACAATGTTAGTACCGGTAGCGTTCCATGGAAGCAGATTGTTGAGCTGTGCAGCTCATGGGTCAGGAATTCTGATGCGCTTACCTTATTGTTGAGTAGTGCTACTTGAGCGCGCTTGTCTGCGCGCGCGCGCGCGGGTGTGTGTGTGTGTGTGTGTGTGTGTGAGTGAAAATGTGTGTGAATGTGTGTGTTTGCGTTGCTCCCTTGCTTGCTTGCTTGTTTGTGTGTTTGTCATGTCCCGGCATTCTGGTGCCAGGACGTGGCTGAGCATTTCAAGGATCTCATCAAGATGCAGGACAAGGAACTGAGATCTCTGCGAGCCGAGGCGATCGAAGTTGAGATTTGGTCTCCCCATGAAAAAGAACAGAACATGGCTGGATCTCTGGGCATGAAGCTTGAGCCAAGAATCAAAGAAATGCAGGGATGCCCATCAGCAGCAAGTTCCCCTTGAGCCTTAAGTTTAGGAGTTGAACGCCTGTGGCAGCCTGGCTTGCACAAAGAAGCGAGATGCCGTGTGCCACTACTGGTGCCACAGGTTCAGCATCTCAAGGATGAGAATGTCGAGCTGCGGAAGCTCACCACTGACGAGGACAAGACGATCCTTCTCTGGAAGGCGCAGAACAGGGACGAAGTGAACGAAAAGACATCTCAGTGCAAACATGTCAGTGCAAACCTTGTGCCTCCGGATGAGGTGAGGGCGCTCAGCAAACAGTGCGAGGCCCTGCAGGTCCAGCCACGGCCTCGATGGTCCAAAGGGGTGCGTGCTCGAAGCATGGGTTGGAGATGAGTGCAATAGGGCAAAAAACAACCCTTATTCCTGCGCAATGTTCATGTGAAACCAGTGAATCCAGTGAAGGGGAGAAGAAGCGTGCGGTTAAACCCCGCTTATGTAGTCGAGGTGTGATCTCCTCCAAGCCAGTCGCGGCTCCACGGAGGCAAGGGGCCCAGGGCGGGGCTTCTGAAGTGATGGAGTCTGCGAGTCATCCCTGCACGCTTTCTCTCTGGCCATGGGCCATGGGTTCTAGCTGAGTTCCCTCAAAGCAAAGTGGCGTATCCGGGGCTTGAAGCATGACCCGAAGCTGATCACGCCCACCAAGCCAAGTCACCAACCGCCACGCCTTCAGTTTTGCAGTCACTTAATTAGTGCATATTAGTTAGTTCCACGTTGTGATCAGGGAATCGGGGCGTGGATGGGATGGTTTTCGAGGTCTAGAGTTTCAGGCATTGCTCAGCATATGGCCGCCCATAGCCGCCCACAGCTGCCTGTAGCAATAGCATTGCTGGAGAGCAGAGCGGCAGAGCGCATCACATACCTTGGCTGCAATTCAAAAGACGCGGGGTCCACGGCGCCCGAGGTTCTTTAGGGGGATCGCACGCCATAATTTGTGCTTTGTGCCATTTCGGGAGGTATGTTCAATCGTTCGCTTTTATGGCCGACGTTAAAGAAAAAATCACGCTTCTTGCAGGGCGGTAGATCGATGCTAACCCTGTTCTTGCTTCCTGAAAGCGCTGACTTGCCCTTGAATCTGCAAGAGTTCGTTCACCTGCAATTGGCATTTTGGTGTGTGAGAGTCTGTGAGAGTTGGAGATTCTGAGACCACTCGCTGCAGGTGGCTCGCCTCCGCGAGCGGCAACAGCACCGCGCGCAGCGTCAGGAGACAGCAGAGTGACCGCACCCGAAACACTAAGAAGAACAGTCGCTTCAAGTAGAGGCCGTGCCGCATTGTTCAGTTTTTGTGGTGACGCTCGCCCATTTGATGTTGCAACTTTCGGCGACTCGGAAACTCAGATTCCGCCATTCAGATATCAAAGAGTAAGACCATTCATCGCAAACAAGAGTTTCGTTGCATTGGCGACTGCAAATCCCAGCTGGTCGCAGCCATGATAGGCACCGTTATTCCTTCTCGCAGTAGCCTGTGCACTGGCCGATGGGGCATTGTGAGAGTAGCACACTGCTGCTCGGGACATGTCCCAGTATTGTACTTTCCCTTGAGCTTGGGCTTGCTATCTGCCACCTTAAGTCTCGACCCTTTGACCAACGAACCTGGCCTTTGTTCACGAAGCATTCTGACACAGCTGTCTCAGAGCCAAATCCCAAGCCTTTCTCCTTTAGGGCATCTACCTGAGTTTATACGACTCGCCGCTTCTGCCGGAACTTGACAAAACTTAAATGCTCAGGCGTGGTCGGATAGATGTCAGCTGGTCATGGTGTTGGGTTGTTGTTTTGCAGCTCTTCTTTGGAATTCCTCTTCGAGCTTTCGGGTCATGCTGCTTTTGCCTTCGAAAAGCAGGAGCTCGAGCAGCAGCTGCAGGCCTGTTGTGGCATGTCACAGAGAGCAGACGAGCGCACCGTGCATCGCCCCACAAATTGTGCTTCAGATTTCTCTGCTTAAGTGCTCAGATTCCTTTTTCCACAGGTGCTGGTTCTGGCTCTGGATGAGGTGGAAGCGCGCAAAGAGAGGCCTCCGCCTGAGCAGGCGCTGGTGTCTTGTCTTCTGCTCACTCTTTGAACCACCATTCTTTGCCAGTGTCTTTTCCAATGTTTCTCCTTCGGCTCGACAGGGAGACGACGCTGACGCAGGTGGCTCAGAGGCCTGTCGGCTCATGACTCGGCAGTTGAGCATAGTTTAGCCGGTGCTCATTGGAGCTTTGCCAAACCGTCCTTCCCTGAGGGCTTGGCTGATGTTGCCGCCGAGAGGGACGAGCTGCTGGCAGTAGGGCAGCTCAGTCGCTGAAGGGCTGAGGAGTGAGGCGCAGCGACGCGTCGGGTGATGAGAATGTTGCCTTCGAGGTGCTGAGCCAGATCCATCGCGCATGCCCTGAGGAGCCCGGGAGAGTAAAGCACACGAAGTGCAGAGCACGACAACAAGCAGAGGTCTTTTCTCTCCATCACAATACTAGATCATTTTCACCCCGTAGCAAAGAGGCGGCGGCTTTCCTGTCGCCGCTGGGCTTTGCACCTTCGTCCAAGTCGGATCGGGAGGCCGGAGAGCGGGCCGCACTGGGGAACAAGTACTCACAAAGTAGGGCGTTGCCTCTTCCTTGTCTGCACTACTCTTCTTGGTTTGGGTTTGTTGGCATCCCGATTTGGGCGTTTTTGACTGTTTTTGGGTTCTGGAACCTGTAAATAAACGTAAATCTTAGAAGGGGGGGGAAGAAGGGGTGAAACGAGCGTATATATATATAATACGTATATATGTATATATATATATATATATAAATGCTAATATAAATAAATACATAAATAAATAAATATATGTATATATATATATATATGTATTATGTATATAAGCTCAGCACCCCTCCAAAGTCAAAAAAACAAATCCCAAGAGCCAAATTCAACGTTTTCTGGGAGAATGTCCTTTGTTTTGCATGTTTGGGGGGGGGCTCCCATTAGCTTAAGATGCACAGGGCATGGGGTCAAGTAAGACTGTTCAGCGAAGTGCGCTGCGTAAGTCTCAACCTATAGTTCTTTGAAACCGATCGATTGAAGATTGACGTCCCCGCTGAGAAATCTTCAACCCTCAATTGCATTGAAGGTTGCAGATGGCAGAAGCAACTCACAGAATGCACTTGAGTTCAAGCACTTTGTATACAGTTTCTACCAGTTCAGCCCCAATTGTTCGATTTGAGGGATCCTGTTTGTCCTCCAAAATTCTCTCCTCCGGAAGCTCAGGTCACAGCCTGGGAGGCCGCGGCAGAACGCCTGGGCCAGCAGGCGGAGGCTCGGCGGAAGTCTGGGATGTGGGATCCCATGATCCATAACAGCACTTATAAGAACCATCATATGGGATATGACGAGTCCGTGCAGTTGTATAAATGGAGTTCCAGATTCGGCGGCAAAAGCCGTTTGATTAGGCGGTTTGCTTCACAGTTCTTCAAGGCACTTCATTGACATCGGGCCACCAAGCTCTGCATCAGCATCTACTCGGCTCTCGGTATGCTTATCAAGCTGATCTCCAGTCAAAAGTCCCAGGGGGGAAGTACTAGACTAGACTGCCAAGCTGTTTGGAATCTCTTGCTCTTTCTATGTGCTCTGGGTTGTGGAATGGTTTTGGCAGTTGGGCTGGGATTGCTCTTGCTTTGTTTGTGGAGTCGTCGTTCAGTCCTGCCGACATTGGCCAGGTCCTCGCCCTGGCAAGCTGCTCAGCAACTGGCCCTGTCTCCAAGGTGGGTTGCTGTGATATGCCATGCCCGACGTAATCCGGTGTGCATCGGCATGCATTGCCTGGTTTTATTGTAGTGCTGGATCCCCAAGTAGAGTCAAGACCTGACCACCTGTCTCTGCAAGAGAGCATGGTCGGCTCGCAAGCATATGTAAAATACAAATGCGGCTGGAAACATACTGCAACGACACTCTTGAAATGCCACCGAGTGTCACATCAGGAGGCTGCGAGCACATGCGAGCACCATAACCTGATGCAAAAGTTATCGGAGATCCAAATGAATCAGCGTATCATGCAAATGTCCACGCTGCGCCATGGCAAGCTGGTGGGTCATGATGGACACAGCGGCCATAGGAGTGGAGTGATAGGATGTCAGAGACATGCCCACACCCTCCACCTTCTCCAGGCCTTGTGGCTCCCCCTAGGCAGGCAACCGTCACACTGGGCTCACTGTGCCCGGCGCCACCACCGCCACCAGCGCCTGCGGCACCCGCACCCCCACCCTCAGGTTTCAGCGGAGTCTTTAAGTCAGGCTCCACCGTGCCAGCTGCCAAGGCTTCGCCAAAGCAAGAGGCTGCCCAGAGTGGAGGGGGCTTGAAGCACGTGTACTTCGACTTCGACCAGACCATCTCCAAGATCCACGTCTTCAAGCAGCTCGCTGGCTGGGAGCCGGGCGTCGACGCGCGGCACGCGCTGTCCGAGCGCGGGCAGATCCACCGACTGGAGATGCTGAATGCGGCACAGTACGCCTACCAGGGCAGCACAGGCACCGTGGTGCCGTGCGCCGCAGGAACACAGGGGGCCTCTTGGACAGCTTGCGCTTTGGGAGGACTGCTTGCGTATGGAGCTGCGAGAGGTTTGTTTAGATGTTCGGCAGCCTGTTGAGAGCCTTCTTCGCAGCAGCTATAAACGGCCTGCTGCCGACTCGGCCATGAATTGCATCGCCTTTACAGCTCTGTTTGCAATGTGGTGTAGGGTGCAACTGTCTGCGAGTATGTAGTTTCGTTGCTCCATAATTTTTTCCTAAACCCTCTCCCGAATCGACCTCTGAACACAGGGCCCGACCAAATGTGAGATGCTTGCAGGACCTGAGCGTGTGGGGCAGCTGCGCAGCTTCTTCGCGAGCATGAAGGCTTCCGGCACGAAGCTGAGCATCATCACCAAGGGCAACGTGGGTGCCTGCCGATATCTGCTGGAGAACGAAGGGCTGCTGCAGTTCTTCGAGCAGGTCTTCGGCATGCTTGGCCAGTTCTACGGTGAGTCCGACTTCGACCGCGCCAACCCTGAGCCATCTCCTCTGGAAGGCAGCGTTGACTGCGAGCTGCGCGAGTCTAAGGCCAACCTCATCCGCAACTTGATGTCTCGAGCGTCTTTGGGCGTCGACGAGGCGTGCCTGGTTGAGGACGACGCCCAGGAGATTGCATCCGTGCAGGGCATCTGCCGCAGCGTCTTCGTGGCTGAGAGGCGTGGGATGACCGAGAGCGAGATGGATGAGCTGAGACGCCTTGCAGGTGCGAGAGCTTCAGAGGCTGCGGACGCCAAAGCAGAGGCCAAAGCCTTCAGCAAAGTGGCGCCGAAGGCAGCGCTGATAGCTAAGCCGCAAGCTGCTCCCCCGCCACCTCCGCCAGATGGCTTCAGTGGAGTCTGCAAGGCTGGAGGAAAGAGCGTTCCACCCGGCAAGGGGCCTGTGGCACCCGCGCCCCCGCCCTCAGGCTTCAGCGGAGTCTTTAAGTCAGGCTCCACCGTGCCAGCTGCCAAGGCTTCGCCAAAGCAAGAGGCTGCCCAGAGTGGAGGGGGCTTGAAGCACGTGTACTTCGACTTCGACCAGACCATCTCCAAGATCCACGTCTTCAAGCAGCTCGCTGGCTGGGAGCCGGGCGTCGACGCGCCGCACGCGCTGTCCGAGCGCGGGCAGATCCACCGACTGAAGATGCTGAATGCGGCACAGTACGCCTACCAGGGAAGCACAGGCACCGTGGTGCCGTGCGCCGCAGGAACACAGGGGGCCTCTTGGACAGCTTGCGCTTTGGGAGGACTGCTTGCGTATGGAGCTGCGAGAGGTCTGTTTAGATGTTCGGCAGCCTGTTGAGAGCCTTCTTCGCAGCAGCTATAAACGGCCTGCTGCCGACTCGACCATGAATTGCATCGCCTTTACAGTTCTGTTTGCAATGTGGTGTAGGGTGCAACTGTCTGCGAGTATGTAGTTTCGTTGCTCCATAATTTTTTTCCTAAACCCTCTCCCGAATCGACCTCTGAACACAGGGCCCGACCAAATGTGAGATGCTTGCAGGACCTGAGCGTGTGGGGCAGCTGCGCAGCTTCTTCGCGAGCATGAAGGCTTCCGGCACGAAGCTGAGCATCATCACCAAGGGCAACGTGGGTGCCTGCCGATATCTGCTGGAGAACGAAGGGCTGCTGCAGTTCTTCGAGCAGGTCTTCGGCATGCTTGGCCAGTTCTACGGTGAGTCCGACTTCGACCGCGCCAACCCTGAGCCATCTCCTCTGGAAGGCAGCGTTGACTGCGAGCTGCGCGAGTCTAAGGCCAACCTCATCCGCAACTTGATGTCTCGAGCGTCTTTGGGCGTCGACGAGGCGTGCCTGGTTGAGGACGACGCCCAGGAGATTGCATCCGTGCAGGGCATCTGCCGCAGCGTCTTCGTGGCTGAGAGGCGTGGGATGACCGAGAGCGAGATGGATGAGCTGAGACGCCTTGCAGGTGCGAGAGCTTCAGAGGCTGCGGAGGCCAAAGCAGAGGCCAAAGCCTTCAGCAAAGTGGCGCCGAAGGCAGCGCTGATAGCTAAGCCGCAAGCTGCTCCCCCGCCACCTCCGCCAGATGGCTTCAGTGGCGTCTGCAAGGCTGGAGGAAAGAGCGTTCCACCCGGCAAGGGGCCTGCGGCACCCGCACCCCCGCCCTCAGGCTTCAGCGGAGTCTTTAAGTCAGGCTCCACCGTGCCAGCTGCCAAGGCTTCGCCAAAGCAAGAGGCTGCCCAGAGTGGAGGGGGCTTGAAGCACGTGTACTTCGACTTTGACCAGACCATCTCCAAGATCCACGTCTTCAAGCAGCTCGCTGGCTGGGAGCCGGGCGTCGACGCGCCGCACGCGCTGTCGGAGCGCGGGCAGATCCACCGACTGAAGATGCTGAATGCGGCACAGTACGCCTACCAGGGAAGCACAGGCACCGTGGTGCCGTGCGCCGCAGGAACACAGGGGGCCTCTTGGACAGCTTGCGCTTTGGGAGGACCGCAAACTGTTTGCATAGCTGGGAGTGCAGTGTAGATGTTCGGCGGCTTGGTGCAAGTCTGGCGAGAGCTTTCCTTGTAGCAGCTCTCTGCGGACGCCCACAAATTCTACAGTATAGGCAGCCTGCTGAATCTGCTCGCCTTGTATGGTTGTGTTCACGTGGCCTGGTGGCCTGTGGTGTAAAGTCTGTGAGTATGCAGGTATTTTGTAGCGCGTTAGATTCCTCCATCTGCTGCTCATTGCCGAGTAAATGCCCTGGCTTCAAAGCACGGGCCTCTGAAGTAGATTGCTATATACTGCTATGAATGTAAATGGGTCTGACCTTGACCCGCAACATGCTCTATCCTCTCTAGCAGACTCTATCACAGAGATGAGAGACGTTTGCAGGACCTGAGCGTGTGGGGCAGCTGCGCAGCTTCTTCGCGAGCATGAAGGCTTCCGGCACGAAGCTGAGCATCATCACCAAGGGCAACGTGGGTGCCTGCCGATATCTGCTGGAGAACGAAGGGCTGCTGCAGTTCTTCGAGCAGGTCTTCGGCATGCTTGGCCAGTTCTACGGTGAGTCCGACTTCGACCGCGCCAACCCTGAGCCGTCTCCGCTGGAAGGCAGCGTTGACTGCGAGCTGCGCGAGTCTAAGGCCAACCTCATCCGCAACTTGATGTCTCGAGCGTCTTTGGGCGTCGACGAGGCGTGCCTGGTTGAGGACGACGCCCAGGAGATTGCATCCGTGCAGGGCATCTGCCGCAGCGTCTTCGTGGCTGAGAGGCGTGGGATGACCGAGAGCGAGATGGATGAGCTGAGACGCCTTGCAGGTGCGAGAGCTTCAGAGGCTGCGGACGCCAAAGCAGAGGCCAAAGCCTTCAGCAAAGTGGCGCCGAAGGCAGCGCTGATAGCTAAGCCGCAAGCTGCTCCCCCGCCACCTCCGCCAGATGGCTTCAGTGGCGTCTGCAAGGCTGGAGGAAAGAGCGTTCCACCCGGCAAGGGGCCTGTGGCACCCGCGCCCCCGCCCTCAGGCTTCAGCGGAGTCTTTAAGTCAGGCTCCACCGTGCCAGCTGCCAAGGCTTCGCCAAAGCAAGAGGCTGCCCAGAGTGGAGGGGGCTTGAAGCACGTGTACTTCGACTTTGACCAGACCATCTCCAAGATCCACGTCTTCAAGCAGCTCGCTGGCTGGGAGCCGGGCGTCGACGCGCCGCACGCGCTGTCGGAGCGCGGGCAGATCCACCGACTGAAGATGCTGAATGCGGCACAGTACGCCTACCAGGGAAGCACAGGCACCGTGGTGCCGTGCGCCGCAGGAACACAGGGGGCCTCTTGGACAGCTTGCGCTTTGGGAGGACCGCAAACTGTTTGCATAGCTGGGAGTGCAGTGTAGATGTTCGGCGGCTTGGTGCAAGTCTGGCGAGAGCTTTCCTTGTAGCAGCTCTCTGCGGACGCCCACAAATTCTACAGTATAGGCAGCCTGCTGAATCTGCTCGCCTTGTATGGTTGTGTTCACGTGGCCTGGTGGCCTGTGGTGTAAAGTCTGTGAGTATGCAGGTATTTTGTAGCGCGTTAGATTCCTCCATCTGCTGCTCATTGCCGAGTAAATGCCCTGGCTTCAAAGCACGGGCCTCTGAAGTAGATTGCTATATACTGCTATGAATGTAAATGGGTCTGACCTTGACCCGCAACATGCTCTATCCTCTCTAGCAGACTCTATCACAGAGATGAGAGACGTTTGCAGGACCTGAGCGTGTGGGGCAGCTGCGCAGCTTCTTCGCGAGCATGAAGGCTTCCGGCACGAAGCTGAGCATCATCACCAAGGGCAACGTGGGTGCCTGCCGATATCTGCTGGAGAACGAAGGGCTGCTGCAGTTCTTCGAGCAGGTCTTCGGCATGCTTGGCCAGTTCTACGGTGAGTCCGACTTCGACCGCGCCAACCCTGAGCCGTCTCCGCTGGAAGGCAGCGTTGACTGCGAGCTGCGCGAGTCTAAGGCCAACCTCATCCGCAACTTGATGTCTCGAGCGTCTTTGGGCGTCGACGAGGCGTGCCTGGTTGAGGACGACGCCCAGGAGATTGCATCCGTGCAGGGCATCTGCCGCAGCGTCTTCGTGGCTGAGAGGCGTGGGATGACCGAGAGCGAGATGGATGAGCTGAGACGCCTTGCAGGTGCGAGAGCTTCAGAGGCTGCGGAGGCCAAAGCAGAGGCCAAAGCCTTCAGCAAAGTGGCGCCGAAGGCAGCGCTGATAGCTAAGCCGCAAGCTGCTCCCCCGCCACCTCCGCCAGATGGCTTCAGTGGCGTCTGCAAGGCTGGAGGAAAGAGCGTTCCACCCG